CTCCAAATCTCATGCTGAAATTTGATCCCCAGTGTTGTATGTGGGGCCTTGTGGGAGGTGTTTGGGTCATGGGAGCAGATCTCTCGTGAATGAATGGCTTGGTGCTCTTCCACCAGAATAAGTGAGTTCTTGCTTTATTAGTTCATGCCAGAGCTGGTTGTTTAAAAGAGCCTGGCACCACCTCTTCTCTCTTGTGCCTTCTCTTGCCATGTGACACAACTGCTCCCCCTTCACCTTCCACATTGATTGGAAGCTCCTTGAAGCTTTCACCAGAAGTAGATGCTGGTGCCATGCTTCTTGTACAGTCTGCAGAACTGTGAATCAAATAAACCTCTTTTCTTTATAAATTTCCCAGCCTCAGGTATTCCTGCATAGCAATGCAAAACAGACTAACACAATCTCAAATTCTTTATGTCAAGGACATTTCTAGGACACCAGACTAGGTTTTCTCAACTTGGCATTATTGACTGTTTGGACAAGATTGTTCCTTGTTGGGAAGTGTGGAGTAGCAAGATTGTGTTGGCTGTCTGTACATTGTAAGACACTGCCAAACATTCCCTGGTGAGAAAATCCACCCCTCCCTGCCCACATTGAGAACTATTTTTTTAGAGTCAAAGTGAAGGTGGATTATAGGAATTTGAGAATGAAGGCAGTTAGAAGATGACTAAAGTAATAAAATAATAAAAGCCTGAATTACATTAGCAATAGTAGGCTTGGACTAGAAGGAACGGGATAAGATTTAAGTATCATTTGGATAACAGGGTAGAATAGAGAAGAAGCTCATTTTGGTTTGCATACTGAGGTAAATGTGGTGTCACTAAAGAGATGATCATATTACATGTAACAGAAAACATGGGATATGTTTTCTTAAAAGTCTGTCATAGTGTCTGAATTTTCTGATTCTGAAGTACTTCTAAATAAAAAGAATTATAAAAAGTAGAACTTCATTAACTGTGCTCTGATTTAATTCTGGTCTTGATAAATAAAAACTTAGGAAATCCAAAATCCTAGGAGTCACTACTCACATTGGAATGTAGAGGACTGCATATAGTGGATTAGGTTTCTGTTAAGTATAATAGAGCAGCAGAGTGGCCAACAGGGGTAAGGAGAGGCAAGTTTAATTTTTCAAGTTAAGCATGAAGGTATAGAGAGTGCTTCCATAGTTCCTCAGAAATATGTACATTTTGTCTATCTGGAAAGGCAGATAAAGGTCATATGAAAGCCAACCAGAATGTTCTATTCTACCTTAGGTTGGCAGCTACAGCTACGTTTAGTTTTTCACAGAGTTCTGCAACCGTCACCCAGAAAAGAAACTCCATAATTATTAGTAGACATTCCCATTTCTCCTCCCCACTCATCTAGTCTCTTTCTACCAATCCCGAGCCCCTGGCAATCACTTACCTACTTTCTGTCTCTCTATATTAGGCACACTATTCATTAACATGCTAACATTTTGTCTTATTTTATATCTTAATACACTTCAATTTTGAAAATTGTTATATGCAATAGCAAATAAAGGATTGAAATAATTTACCTTGGGATGAAAAGCAAAACACATTCCAGGAGCCTGTCGAGATATCAAGGCTTCACCTTTTTTTTCCTTTTCCGCTCCTTTTTTGTTGCTGCCAGAAGTAGTTCGCTTTAATCGCATCAAATCTTTAAAGAAAAAAAAATACATAACTTATTATTTACCACATGAAAAAGTACTGCAAATATCATGTGTGTATCTTCTGCAAACAATATTCCATTTCTGCCATCTTTGGCATATGATTAGGTTAAAATTAGCAAATACTAGAACTAGATGCTTACAAAAACAATGACCGCACCTAGTTTTTTTGTTGTAGTTGTTGGCCAGCTCAAAATTTGTCACCTTTCACACATAGTTCACTAG